CAGAACATGACAGGAGCATTTTATGGCAAGCTTGGTTCCAGGAATAACATAGTCTGATAAAACTGTGAAGAGTATCCACAATAGCTGCTACTGTATTGAAAACACAGTCTCCCTAATTTGTGGAAGAACTTTGAAAGCCTGTGAATCTGTGTCTTGCAATTAACGTGGTATATTGTGGAACCATGAATATGTGTAATTAATGTTAACATGTATCACGTAACAAGTGTGAAATTTACAGTACCCTTCTGTAAACTCAGGTGCACTATATCTGAGAGATGATGTATGTGTGAAAAAAAGATAATGCTAAGTTGTCCTCTTCCGACTCTAATTAATCAGAGATAATAGAGACCCCAGTTCTAGGTGCATCATGTGCTCAGGAAATTCGGGTCCATTTCTCAGCTACAAGCTATTAACTGTGGGTCTGTGGATCTAGTTGAGGAGGATAGCACCACACTGCAAAAATCTCAAAACCACTTTCTTCTGTTCATCAGTTTCATGTATGTTTTGCTCTGTTCCAACCAAATATTATTACTCTAACAGCTATTTTTGTGGTGGTCCTGGACTGTTTGATGATGGTGTGGTGAATGCGAAGTATGACAGGTGATGCTGGATGTCATGTCATGGGTGTTATCACCAGCCCATCAGGCTGTGCTATCTGAGCAATTTGCCCAGTGGCTGCATGAAGTGAACTGGAGACATTTGATTATTGTGCAGCTCCATAAATGAAGGACTTGTAACAGATGTATCATTTCTAATTATTTCTTGTTAAGAGTATGTCTCAGCAGTTCTTCAACTTCAAGAAAGGCTGAGGTGGTTAAATCACATGTCCTCTGTCCTTACTACCTCACGCAAGCTAGTCACAGGGGAATGGTGTGGGCACTGCCATGGTCCTGGAGAATGGAAATGAGGCCCCCAAAAAAAAATGTTTGCTGCTTGGCATCATCAGAGGACCATCTGGGTTTAGTTTTGTGCTAACTTGAGACTGTGCTGCATCTAATCTAGCTCTTTCAACAGTAATGGTTCTCTTTTCAGTAGTGAAGCTCAGAACACCTTGCAAAGGCAGTATTGTGATTGCTGGTTTTCTAGAGATCGTAGATTCATGGCATAGTTTTGATTGGAAGGGATCTTTAAAGGTCATCTAGTTCAACCTGCCTACAATGAGCAAAGACATCTTCAACTAGATCAGATTGCCCAGAATCACATCCGGCCTGGCCTTGAATGTCTCAAGGGATGGCATATCCACCACTTCTCTGGGTAACCTGTCCAGTATTTTACCACCCTCATTGTAAAAAATTTCTTCTTCATGTCCAGCCTGAATCTTCCCTCATTTAGTTTAAAACCATCGCCCCTCATAAGATGAGGAAACTGAGGCCCAAGGAGGAAAAAATGCATTTGCTAGTGGCCTTTAATTTGTATTTCTTAAAAAATTGAAATACAATTTTATTATGATAGTCAGTTCAGTCTTTCACTGTAGATAATGAACCTGTGTGAACCATCTTGTGCCCAGACTGTTTGGACCCTTGTACAGGTTGCAGGTTTCTCTACATTGTTTCAGGAGAGGGAGCTAAAACTCAACCTACTGCTCATTGTGGATCCATATTCACAGATAATTAAGTTTGGACAGTATAATCTGTCAACATGTTATCCTGAAAAATCCCAAGGTTATATCACCAACCACCACAGAGAAGAAAATCTGTGGTGGGCTCTGCTCATCGAGTACTAATGATTGGATCTGGTGAGAAAATATAAAATAAAGAGAATGCCTGAGCTCATCCTAGACTAAAAATGTCTGGGTACACCAGACACGAGAAAGCGACACTGATGGACTGTACAGTGCAAAGAACATACTCTGCATTATGTGCAACCTGCATTATTATTATAGCATGGTCTGTGGCCTGTGCACCACAATCTAACACGGCTGCTGTCTTCAGTTACATTACTGAGAGATGTTTAGGTGGTTGTACTGAAGAGAAAGCACAATCCTCTTAACTTGTGTAATTGCAGACAAAGGAAGGCTAGTAAAATATTTGTCTATGGTAGGGCAATGCCATCTAGTTACCAGTCTACCAGCTGTCAGGCTCCTGACTCACATGTAATACAAACTTGACCATTTTATATCCTCCCCTTTACAGCTAAATGTCAAAGTCCTTCTAGGTCTTATGGGCTTTTCTTAATATCATCTTATTACATTGTTTCCTAAGGGGACCTTTGAGGTAATATTTTCAAGGTATCATTGGTGCCTGGCCCTTGAGTGCATTCAGTGGTATGAAGGGACCCTCTTCAAAGCCATCCTGAGTGCAGGCTGAGGTCTGAGAGGTCTTCAGAACTTGAGTGTCAGAAACATTTGTGGTGAAAACCAAGGTCAGACCTACATGCCTTCGGGAGCATTGGATATGTTTATCACTGGGCTGAGGGAGGAGGGAGGGGATGGATAAGGAATGTTTGGGTTTTGCTGGGATTTTTTTTTTTCTTCCTTTAGGTGGAAGGTTTCTCTATTTTGTTCAGTTGCTTCAGGTGGAAAATAATTTCCCACCTTAGAGCGGAAGAAAGAAGTGTTGTAAGAGCAGCACTTCATCATACAGTTGATTTTCAGCCAAAGTCAAGTCCCTCTAGGAACATTTACAACTGGTAGTTTTTTAGCAGACTTGAAGCTACTCTGACTTCGGCTGCTGAAGAAACCTCTTGCTATCTGCAGGAGCTACGTAAGTGGAGTCATATGTAACTTTTCCTTCTTCCTGGATAGTTAAGGTGGGCCCTTGAATCTCTCAGACCCAAACTGGAGTAAAAAAGGGGCCATGCTGCCATCGTAAAGCAAAGGCTTACTATAAAGAACATGTAAATTATATAAATCAAGGAACTGTTTGAATGCTTCTGTGACCCATTCTTCAGGCCTAGAACCCCCATTTATTTCTGGTTTATAGCATCAGTAGTCTTTGACGAAATGATCTTTGGGACATTACTGAAGGAATTTCAAATAAGTATCAAAAGGGACTAAATGAAAGTATTTTAGCAAAGCACATATTGATGGAAATCTGGCGATTGCATGTTTTTGAAAAAAAATTTAGAAGATCTATCAACCACAGTACCTTTATCTGGAGGAATCACGCTAGCTACAAAATATATACGTGTCAGAATCTATTGATCACTCAGATGCAATCATAGTTGGTTAAAACATGATAGTGTATTTCATACTGATTTGTTCATGGCCAGACTTTGAGAAAGAGCCTAGTTATAGCCACACAGAGCCAGTGTTTTGGAATCTAAATAAACTGTTATATTTTTCATATGTTCGGGGGGGG